TTCTGTCTATCAAGGTCACAAAAAAACATAAAAATGCCAAAAAGCTTGAACAAACCACAGAAACCGGAGGAGTAACATTTGATCGAGATTTGTCTTTTAAATCTCATATAAAACAAACCTCACAGACTGCGTTCTTTCATCTCCGTAATATCGCAAAATTTAGGCCTATCCTGTTCCAAAAAGATGCAGGAAAATTAATCCACGCTTTTGATACCTCTAGGCTGGATTACTGTAACTCCCTATCATCAGGTAGCTCTAATAAGTCTATGAAAACTCTCCAGCTGACCCAGAGCACAGAGGCACGTGTACTAACAGGAACTATGGCGTCCAGTAAAATCCAGAATTGAATTTAAAATCCTACTGTTAACTTATAAAGCTCTAAATGGTCAAGCTCCGTCATATCTTAGAGAGCTCATAGTGCCATATTATCCCACCAGAACACTGCGCTCTGAGAACGCAGGGTTACTCATGGTCCCTAAAGTCTCCAAAAGTAGATCAGGAGCCAGAGCCTTCAGCTATCAGGCTCCTCTCCTGTGGAATCATCTTCCTGTTACGGTCCGGGAGGCAGACACCGTCTCCACATTTAAGACTAGACTTAAGACTTTCCTCTTTGATAAAGCTTATAGTTAGGGCCGGCTCAGGCTTGCCTTGGACCAGCCCCTAGTTAGGCTGACTTAGGCCTAGTCTGCCGAGGGACCTCCTTCTCTTCTTCTCTCTTGCTCTTAGATTTAGAAAATTTGGATCTTCTTCATCTGCTAACATTCATGTCCTATTATTACATGTCGCTAACTCAGCTTCTTCTCAGGAGCCTTTGTGCTCCACTGTCTCGCATGTTCCCTCAAATCGTGGCTACACCTGGATGGTGTGTCATTGTTGTGCTGCTGCCGTGGTCCTGCCAGATGCCTCCTGCTGCTGCTGTTATCATTAGTCATACTTCTACTGTTATCAGACCTGTATGTTTATTATTTTTACATACATATACTGTCATATACTAATATATACATATATAATGCTATTATTATTACAATATTATCATTAACTTTAATGTTGGTGTAGCTATTGTCATTCCCGTTTGCCGTGCATCTCTCTGTCTCTCCAACTCTCAATTTATCATTGTGTCAAACAGATTACTGTTAATTTATTATGTTGATATGTCCTGAAGAGGGATCCCTCCTCAGTTGCTCTTCCTGAGGTTTCTACCGTTTTTTTTCCCCGTTAAAGGGTTTTTTAGGGGAGTTTTTCCTTATCCGCTGTGAGGGTCCTAAGGACAGAGGGATGTCGTATGCTGTAAAGCCCTGTGAGGCAAATTGTGATTTGTGATATTAGACTTCAAAAATAAAACTGAATCAAAATTGAATAATATCAATATATTACAGAGCCCTACAACGCTTAAGATTGTCATTATTTTTACCTAACTATGATGCCATTCATGCTCTGCACCAGTCATTCAATGTATTTGCATTACATTACATTATTCAAATTAACTGCACACAGCCATGATTTATAATTTCAAAAGGGTTACATGTACTTTAGTGTTACTGTTAATTGTGCCTTGTTCATAGAAGCCTCTCTTTTCACTGCTGCCTCTCCTACAGCAATAGAAAATCTGCACTCATACACACATAAAATATTTCCTTCTACTGTTGCACTTTTATTGTAAAAACAGGAAATGCAGTGCACGTGTCATTCAAAATGTCTCTTTACAGTTCTTGTTTTATTTTTTACGAGAGGGCGATAGCACGAGAACAAACAGCCACACTGAGCTGTTAGCTGCAGAGCAGCAGGTGAAGGCCACTTCCATTTCCTCGCCAGCAAAATAAACATCTTCATTTGTACGTGCCACTGCTCTTCTCCAGAGCCAAGAACTCTTTTGGCACTTGTTATACTTAATGGCAGTCGTCCAGATTATTATAACCCAGTGATGATTTTGCATATTGAGCGTAGGTAGATTTGAGGGCAGCTCAGGACACACAGTCGGTGCACAATCAATAACTGTGCTCCTACAGTAGAAATCTCTTCTGTGAGAGAAGGTAAGCAGTGGTCAATATTTAATATCTGCCAGTGATAATCACTGGGTGGCCTCTACTGTAAACAAGCCTCCAAATGTTTACTTCAAACTTTAAATTCTGCAGCTGCAACTGATACTATAGCCCTGTGATAAATTACATTTCTGAAGCCTCGAACGCTGCGTTTGGAGACGCTGACAGAAAGTTTGATTCCTGGTGATTTATGAGGCAGTATTTCTGTGCATAGTTGTACCGAATTTCATTATATTGAGAGGTGTTTTTCTGGCCTCCTCATGCGTGTAAATGGAAGTTGGCAGTGGAAATTAGAGACTGCTTTCTATATAAACCAGAGTAAGTTTGTTTATCAGTGTGAGTTTGTGCCCACTCCCTCAGGCTAGAGGGTCAAAGTCCATCTATGAAGTTATGATTCAATGACATGGACACAGTCTACGTTGAGATAAGCTATCTTTATCAAACACACATGCACACACACACGGAGAGCTGCCAACCACTCTAGGCCGTCCAGTGATTTACAGTAAGGGTAGTTTGAGCAGGGTACACGGCCGCAACAGCAAATCAAATCAGGTAGAGGAACACAACTGTGTTAAGGACAGCCCTGCGCCCACACTAATGAGATATGGAGCAAAGAATAACAAGAACAAAGATGGCCTCAGTGTCTCTTTCTTCCGTCCTTCTTTGTTTGCCTTTGCTGTCCATTCAACCACTCAGAGAAAAGAGAAACTGCATTACAGAAATCCCTTAGGCAAAGATTAGCATCTCCAGTCACTAATGTTGCGGCAGAGAGGGGTGGCTGGCTGCTCGGCAGACATGTACGGTGTCACAGGAAGGACACAATGTGTGGTTTTTATCCACGCAGTACCTTGGTCTGCTCTGCTCTGAGGGGCAACACTAACTGTTGATCAGATGAGACGGTATGTCTTCAGTGCCAGCTGAAGTTTGAAGCACATTTCCGTAGCAGATTGAACAGCTCATTTGTCACGCCTTCCAGCTACTGCAATTAAACTCAGCCGTCACTTCTAATTACTATCAATTAGTTGGACTAACAGCTTTAAGCATATGAGATTGATTTGATGGATATATTCCTGTCTTCGGTGGAGTCTGAGGGGAAAGTCAGGGTTTCTGTTATCTGGTAATTACTGTTTTTTAACAGTAAATCTGTTGAAGTTCAACATAGTTTAATCTCTCTGGTCATAACGTCCAATGAAAATAATTCCCTCTGAGAAAATGAAGGCCTGAAGATCTTTTCAGACAATAACTCTCCACCTGGGTAGGTGTCCACAGGATCTGTCATTTCCACACTATCCATCACTTGTCTATATTATCAGCTCTGCAATGCATCCTGACATTTCAATAAATTTGGTGTCATGTTGGCTGCTCCTCATCTGCATGAGGTCGAGGTCCTGGCTACTTTATGCAAATCAGGAGTGTCCAGTCTGACTTTCCAATCTCTGAAAACTCTGAAAAAACATTCAACCTGACCACTGTTGATTTAAAATGGAGACAGATTCAGCAACTGCATTGCCTCAGATGTTTGCAGAAATGCACTTCTGTGAAGCTGCCTAACCCACTGCGTCCAAACACACCTCTGCCGACACGTACCATCACTGCGCTCCTCATGTGGACAGACAGGTGCTCTGAAAGTAAATTGCAAGGTGCTATCATGGAAACAGTATCATATATTCATAATAAAAGGTAGATTTGTTGACATATAGTTGGCCCAGGCCTTAATGTCAACCAACAACGGTAATTTTCGATGGCTTAAGTTTGCCAAATTAGCATAGTTGTAACTATCTGTAATGTTATGTGACACTTCCAGTCTTGCATTGATGCTCTGCCATGCAAAAGCCTCCTTTTTATGGCCCAATAACTGTTTAGAAAACACTTATATATATTTCAGGGAACTCACAAACAGTGAACATCAATCTCTGGTTCATTGAATTGCAATGTGCATAGTGTAGAAAAAGGTTCAAGACAGTTTGGCCACAGACGAGGGTGTGTGTTAGATGAGCACGACCGTAACAGTTTGTTGCTCCGCCTGTCAGGTTGCCAGCGTCTCCCTACCTGCCCACTCACCTTTCATTGCCAATGACTAGCTAAGTGCATAATTACTCCACATGTGAAAAACACTGTCTTCTAAAAGCAAGCGAGCATTTTTGCTTTCTCACAGAGTTATAAGACAAGGTTGATGCTCCTTGTATGTCTGTGAGATAAATATGAAGCTACAGTCAAAAGCCAGTTAGCTTAGCTTAGCACAAAAACTGGAAACAGGAGGAAATAGATGGCCTGGCTCTGCCCAGAGGTAAAAAAAAATCCATCTACCAGCATCTTGATTGCTCACCAGTTAACATGTTATATCTCATTAGTTTAATGTGTACATATGTCATGGATGCTATTAATATGTTGACTTGCAGAGAATAATTTCCAGTGAGAAACATGCTGTCTTCACTTGGAGACTGTTTGTACAGAGATGCACAAAGAACTAATAGAGATTCGTCACATGATGCACAGTCACTGCAAAAACTATGAGCTCGTGGTTGACTACCAGGGGAACAGGAGATCCATGTTGTGGTTGTCATCCAGGGAGAATAAGTGACTCAGACAAGTACCTCAGGGACCAATTTTGCCCATTAAATTACATTGATTTGACGTGACTTTGTTAAGCTTTGTTGTTCTTGCTCTGCTGTATGTGTATTAGTATGTAAGTTCACTGAGAGAAACAGAACAGAGTCAAATTCCATCTAACCTACATATTCACATACTTGGCCTTTGACCACCAAAATTTAATCAGTTCACCCTTGGGTCCGAGCAGACGTTTGTGTGTAATTTGGAGATATTCCCTGAAGGCTGTCTTCTGGAAATGGTGAAAACTCTCTCTCATATGAGATAGCTTGTGAAGACATGACTCCAGCTGAAGCTTGAAGCAGAATATTATCTGCCATCCTAAAAATCACACACAAACAATGAGATACTCACATTGACATAATGCACCAGGCTCTCCTGCTCGTTGACTTTGTAGGTCTGAACACCGTACTCTCTGGCCAAACGGAGGATGCGGTTCTGAGTTGGTCCGATGTAAGCCCCACCCAGATCAACCCACTTTGTCTCCTTATTCTGAAAAAGAAAGAAAAAACACATAGGACTATAAACAGAGAAATAAAAGAAGAAATAGAAATGGAAAAAGAAATACACTGTTGATCACAAAAGTCTCATTGATAGGTTGGAAAAAGTTTCAGTCCTGCCTATCAGATCATTAAAAAGCTTCTCATGACAAAGAAGTCCATGTGGAGTACCACAAGGCTCTGTCCTGGGTCCACTAGTTTTCAGTCTTTGCATGTTGACAATTCAGAACTTTTTGCTTTCACTGCTATGCAGATGACACCCAACTCTACATGGCTGTTGATCCTGATAACCCAACCCCCTTTGACTCCTCCTTTACTTTGTCATTAGTCTATGGATGACCCAAATATTCATCAAAGTAAATCAGGACAAAACAATGGTCCTTGTTATCAGTTCAAATACATTAAGATAAATAATGTTCCTGTAATTTATTAAACTATTCCAGCACATTACAACACAAGAAATCTGGGCGTTATCGACTGTGACTAACTAACTTTGCAGGAAGTTTGAGGAGCATAACTGGAACAGCTATCTATCCCTTTAAGAAATACTGCCAACGTAAGACTTTTTTTGTCTCCTGGAGAAGAAAGAGGGGTTTGTGCATGTGTCACAGTCCTGCATGCAATTTTCTTTGACTATGCCCCCTGGCTACCGTTGCCTGTTACTGAGCTGAACTGTGTTTCCTGTTGGGCTAACACCACTGCTCACTCACCTGCCTCCTGGCCTGGTTCAGCTTGCCAAATCAGCCAGGCTGCCAGGAACTTTGTGGAGAGACTTTGCTGGAGTGTTGAACTGTATTGTGTGCTGTTTACTAGCCCTGCCCTGTACCTGCAGAACTGTAACAGCGAATGTCATCGCCAACTGTTCCTATGTGCTGCAACTGGGCCCTAATACCACCCAGTAAAGCATGCATTTATTATGAGTAGGCTAAACTACTGCAATACACTGTTTCATGCAAAGCAAAGCTTATTAATCTTAGTTTCATATATTTTGGCATTTCTAATTTATTTTTGATTTTATTTCCTGGTCTTACCTGCACAGTGAAGGTGCGACCACCAACCCGATCCCTGGCCTCCAGGACTACAGGGCTCAGCCCATTGGCTTTTAACAGCTTTGCTGCACTCAAACCTGTAGACAGAAAGAGAAACACAGAGGTGAGTGAGGACAAATGCAGCACACTTCCTACACTTCACACAGGCAAGAAAAGACTTGTATACTAATTGTGCATGAATGTCAGGTGCTGGTGTATAATGATGTCTGTTTGAAATATGAAATATGTGTGACTGCTGGTGAGTGCTTTCTTTAGTCTTAATTTTACAGCCCAGTCACCAGAAACCACGAATATGTTACACATGTGCATTTTATATGTATCATGTCAATGTTGGTGGATGGTGTGACACCCAGGCGAGATGCCTGCCAAGCTACAGACCATTGTTCAAGACCAATAAGCAATAAAACCAGTTGTGTTTCAGCACATCATTGCTATTTTCCCAGCAGCTTTTTAGCCACCAAACGTGGGTATTTTGTAGCAACCCGTCTCTGCTTTTCAAGCCGGGAGTATGCCCCCAAAATCATGTATTTAAAGCCTAAACATAATGTTTTCCTGACCACAATCAAGTGATTTTTGTGCCTAAACCTCACCGCATGTCAATCACAGTATTTTTGAAACATAAAGCTTCTTTGTATCTAATACAAAATAACGTGCAAATGTAATGTATCCATAGCTTGTAAAAACATACAACGTAGGCTTGGGCGGTATCCTGGTGTAACGGTCCCAAAAATATGACTTGTAATACTGTCAAACATACAGGTGTTCCTCTTTCTACTGAACTCACAGCACAGTGCACAGCAGCTGGTCCGCTTGTAAATGCTGCCGTGAGAAGACAAACCAACTCTAGAAAACTATGCATCTTTGGAACAAAACTAGTCCCTGATTCGGACCAAAGCACCAAAGGTCAGAAAGCACCCTTAGAGATTATTTCAACCAAACTGTTTGTGATTGCTGGAACAGTGGACTAACTGACTGCATGACTAACAAGACTAACTCAGACCTACCTGGTGAGTTTTATTTTGTTTCTGTAGAGGTGTAACAATATATCTTTGTTGAAAGAGTTTTTACTGTGTATTCAGAGGATTAAAAAAGCTACAGGGAGCAAACTCATCGGTTAGGGTGGGGAGGTTCATAAAGGTATGACAAATTATCGCCTAAGCCAAGTACAATGCCTAAATTTTTTCTGGCGACTAAGCTGAATTCCCTCCTTGGTGCTCTCACACTAAAGCTGCCCAGGAGTGGAGGAGGTCTGTCAGACTTTATGACAGAATGGCTCGGTGCCACACCTTTCTTGAACGGAGCCTTTCATCATGTCTTTGTGGGGCTTTCTTGGTTAGGTAACTTTCAGACAGAATAGATGGTTGAAGGGGATTATTTGGAAAATCTGACGAGAGAGATGAAGATCAAAGGTGGATTTTGTTAGAGGAACAAATCTTGTTTCTCCTCTGCAAGTCAACTTACCATGGTACCACTCAAACTTACGTCTGTTTAAGTTTTGCTCCTTCATGCTTTTATAGAGTATATATTTTCTTATACAACAGGTCTTTGTTGAAAAAGGATTAAGTGAGGGATTAACCACCTAACATTGGCCTTTCGAATGACTTGGCTGGATATTCAGAGAGCTGTGGGAAAGATGGGAGAGCATTGGGGGAAGGGAGGATCATTGCAGAGAGAAACACTTCCACAACAAATCACAAACCAGCTGACCTGCTGATCATGTGAGCAAATACAAAGGGCAGAGCAAAGAGTAGAGCATGACTTTCACACACACTGACTGACTTCCTGACTGACTGACTGACTGACCAACCACAGGAAAAAGGCTTTTCACACACTGACCTCAGGCAATCCCCGCCATAACTTTAATTCAATAAGACATAACATAAATGCACTTAGGCATGCACACACATGTAGAGGATTAGCGTGCAGCATATGGCTCAGCAGCACTGGACTACGTCAGTGCAGCAGACGTTTAAAAGCACAGAAGTCACACACAGAAAGTGATTTATATGGGACAGAGATGAGCGGTTACTAAAAAGATACCAAATATTACATGGCCAAATGTATGTGGACACCTTAACATCAAACCCATTTAGGATTGCTGAACATCTCATTCATAAAGCATGGACTCTGACAGGCTCCACTCTTCTGGAAAAGCTTTCCACTGCAGGGATTTGATTCCATTCAGCCACAAGAGCACGAGTGAGGTCAAACACCGACGCTGGGCGATAAAACTTGGCTCACTGTCGGAGATCTGACACAGGTGCCAAGTGGAGAAGTGTTTTTAACATTTCAAATGTTTCTTGCAGACAGTAACTTCATCTTTAGTAATCTCTAGCTTTCACCTGCTGTTTTCACGCCATTATTTTGAGCTCATTCCAGTCACCAGAAAGAAAATGGCATTGTACATTTCTGCAAACCATGCATACGTTACATTTAATACGTATCATATCAGTGTTTCTAAAGTGACGTAGTATATGAGTCGACTTTGTCATCTGGGGTTGGAAGGGATGGTGGATGGCATGACATGTAGACAAAATGCCTGTCAAGCTGCAGACCACTGCACACCTACATGAGCGACCAATCGCTGTTTTTCCAGCTGCGTTTGTGTTTTTTTTTTAAGCTTTTTTTCCGGACCTAATTGTATTGCGGAGTTTTGCACAGCGGCGACCGGATCTTTGCTCTCAAACCACAAAAAAATGTGATGGCACAACAGTCTCCTTAAGTACATTATTCTATGCTTTCTTTTGATTTTCTCATTGGCTAGTCATCCTGTTTAATTTATCTTCTGATTAAATCGGAACTGTTGAAACAAGTTGTAGGAAGCCTCTGCAAGTAATTGGTTGCTGGCAGACACTCTGTGCTGCAATAAAATGGTTAATCAGCAGTGCCGTGCACTGTAGAGCCGATGGGCTGCTGGTTCTGCCGGCCTGAATAGAACATAATGTCTATAGCCTTACTGTTGTGTACAGCCTTATAGACTGAGCTGAGTAGTGATGCACGGGTCGACCCGTAACCTGCGGGACATTATTGGCTATTACTGTCATGGCATCCAAAGGTACCGATGCATTGAGCAGGTGACAGTCCGCGGTCGTTTTCAAAACACACTTGTGTTACACACTCCAAAAGAAACTTGTTGAAACTTTAAACAATAATTTATTGTACAAAACGGGGGAAACAAACATTAATATCAATATCGAATACCAAATTTTCATAACGAATACCTACCCATAGAAACGAATATTCGAATATCCGAATATTTGGGTACAGCCCTAGTGTTTTCTACCAACCCACTGCTGCAGTTTTTTTTAGTGCCCCATTGATGTGCTATGTGTTATTAACATCCATGTCTGTCTTAACTCATATGGAGCCATGACAGATGACAATGCTTAGAATATGGATGTTGCTGCAAAGAAGCTACATATTAAAAAATGAGGGTGCTTCACACACATCTTAAACCTGGTATCTGCTACATAATAAAGTCTAAATGTAATGTATCCATGGTTTGCAGAAATATACAATGCCAACGTTTATTTTGGCAATTGATTTGCTGTAATTTGAAATGAAGCTCTATTGAAAGATTGATGTTATCAAAATATATTCATATGCTGTTGCAGTAACATTTCTCCTTCGGGACACTGAGGGCCCTCACCCAAGTCATAAAAAAAAACAGCTCGAGGCCAAAGTCTGTAGATGTCCACATACGTTTGGCCATACATCTTAGCTCAGAGCTTCCCCCTCAGCAGGCTCCCACATCTGTGCAAATGTTTTCCTAAATTCCATTCTAACCGTCCCATCTTCTCTCTCTCCATCCAAATCCAGCTAAGCTCTGAAGTGAGTGAGGTTTATATTAGTTTAAACAGACTTTGTCCTGCATTACCCAACTTCAGCCCTCTCTCCCTGTGCAAACACGCCCACCCTGCCAGGCTTTGGAGAAAGCATTAGCCCTGACCAGAGGAGGCTCACAAATCTTCCCCCGTTAAATTGATGCTATTACCTGCGCTCAGCTCAAAAGGTCAGTCTCTGTCTTGGAAAACAAAGAGCATCTGTCTGCATCTCTTGTTTATGCCTACAGCAATCACTGCGAAAAGTAGCATCCTGTTGGGATATCGCTTTGATCAGAGAGCTTGTTTGTCTTAATGGAGACATAATTCTTTATATATAAATATATATATATGTACATATGAAAGCCTTGTATAAATATGACTAATGCATCAGAATAAAGCTCTCATCACTTCAAAGGATTCAGAATGAGCTTTCTCCTTTTGTTTATCTCCATCCCCCCACCATGAAGTGAAGAAGAGGAATGAGCCGCACCGCTGGAAAAATCAACATGCTAAGACTGTTCCTGAACTAAACTTCAGCTGAGAGGAGAGACAGAGAGGCAGATTGAAATTCAACTCATGCAGCAGACAGGAAGAGAGACCAAAAGAAAGACAGAACTCGAATTACCGCCCTGTTGTTGTATGTCTCTTTGAACTAGTCAAGTTGCAGTTACCGTTTATATCCATGTCTGTCCAGACTCATATGCAGCCATGACAACTGACAATGCTTCAAATGTTGTTTCAGAGAAGATGCGTATTCTAAAACATGGCTGGTGCAAACATATCTTCAACCTGGCAGCACAGAAGATCTTTACAATCAGCACAGTTTCAGAGTGGACACCCAAGATTAGAGTCACCAATTGACCTATGGCTAAGTCCCGCCCTCAAACACGATGAGCCAGTCACAGTGCGTATAGCCATTCCCATACACTGGGACATTCTCTGCCTGGATGTTGTTGGGAATAGAATGATTTTATGTGTTTTACTATAAGTTGTGTTTCACTATATAAGTTTTAGATGCGTGAACAATGAGAATACTGAGATGATTTCAGCTGATCTGAATGTGTTTGCTTTGCAGAAGTGGAGAAGTACAGGAGAGGAAGAGACATGAAGTCTGAGGAGCACATACCGCAATGCTTAGATAATTAGTTTCATATATGGTAAAAAGAATAGAAAGTGATATACAGATAGTAAGGTACAGCACGTGTAGGGAGTTGTGTTGTTCTCTTGTCTTTCAAAACAGGAACCACGCCCCCACCGCCAGC